TAGTCACTTGGAATCATATGGTAGGGCCTTGCGCCAGATGGACAGATCAGCCACTGGTAGCCCTTCTACTTCATTTGTGTCAACATCAGGTAATGCAACTTTTGCCTTCCATGTCTCTACAACCACCGATTCCCCTTGGATCATTGACTCAGGGGCTTCTAATCATATGGCCGGTAAACCAAACCTATTTAGTTCTTATAACCTTTTGTCAGGAAGGGATAAGGTGAGACTTGCAGATGGATCTTTTTCTTTCATTGCAAGTCAAGGATCAATATCCCTTCCCCAAGGACTTAACTTGAATAATGTTTTACATGTCCCTTAGCTTCCTATGAACCTTCTTTCTATTAGTAGTATCACAAATTCATTAAACTGCAGTGTAACCTTTTTTCCGGATTCATGCTTTTTTCAGGACCTAACTTCTAGGAGGACGATTGGTAAAGAAAGCTTAGTGGATGGTCTCTAAACTCTCGACCACAAAGCTGGTTTCTCGATGTCATCTTCAAAGTCTCATAGTCGGTCAAATAAGGGTCAAATTGTTTTGTGGCATAATCGGTTAGGTCATGTGTCTTTTGAAATAAAAGATCAAGTTTCCCTTTCCATATTATGTATTCTGATGTGTGGGGGCCTACTACCATAACTTCAGAGGGTGGGCATAAATACTTTATCACATTGATTGATGACTTCTCCTGTTATACATGGGTTTTTCCCATGTGTAGTAGAGACAAAATCCCAAAGATTGTAAGAGATTTCCAAAGGATGGTGTTTACACAGTTCCATGTGGAAGTTCAAATTTTTCAATCCAACAATGCGAAGGAATATTTCCATGGTGAGCTAAATGAGTTCTTTGTTTCCCATGGATCGATTCATAGAAGCTCATGTGCAAGAACACCACAACAAAACGGTGTTGCAGAAAGAAAGAACAGACACCTCCTTGAGGTAGCTTGGGGGATGATGTTACATATGAATGTTCCCAAACGATTTTGGGCTGATGCTGTACTTGCTGCTGCTTATGTCATAAACCGCATGCCCTCCGGAGTGTTAAACTACAAGGCCCCTCATCAGTTATTTTTTCCTCAGTCTCCTCTTTTTTCCATTCCCATGAGGGTGTTTGGTTGTCGTGTGTTTGTCCATGATTTGTCCCCATCCCGGGGTAAGTTGGATCCACGGTCTACTCCATGACTTGTCTGCTTCTCCTATTGGCCAGAAGTTTTTTGTCTCCATGGATGTCTCATTTTTTGAGTCTGAATCGTTTTTCCCTGCCCCTCCTCAGGGGAAGAGTAATGTGGAAGAGGAGAAGCAGGCTCAGGTTTGTCAGGTCTCCCTTCCTTCTATTCCAGGATCTTGCTCCTTTTCGTGTCTTCCAACATCAACACCGTAGAGATCAGCAATGTGACAAAGAGGTGGAGCCACCAAACACTGAGAAACCAACACTGTCTGATTCCCAGGAGGTAAGTCCAACACCTGTTGATCCCATAGCCCCCATTTCAGTTGTGGATGACCTTGACATTCCCATTGCTCATAGAAAAGGGGTCAGGTAATGCACTAACAAACATCCCATTACCCAATATGTGTCCTATGACTACATTTCCCCCTCTCACCGTGCCTTCCTATCTGCAGTTGATAGTATTCTCATACCCAGAAATGTGTTAAAAGCTTTAAAACACCCTAAATGGACATATGCTATGAAGGAGGAGATCAATGCCCTCCACGAATCAAACATGGGAGTTGGTGGATCTTCCAATAGGGAAAGATCCAGTGGGGTGTAAGTGGGTGTTTACAATGAAACACAAGGCAAACAAGATGGTTGAAAGCTACAAAGCAAGGCTGGTAGCTAAAAGGTACACCCAAGTTTATGGTGTTGACTATGATGAAACATTTGCCCCAGTAGCCAAGATGAATTCAGTACGGGTTCTTCTATCATTAGCTGCAAATCTTGATTGGAAATTGCATCAACTGGATATTAAGAATGCCTTTTTAAATGGTGATCTGGAGGAAGGGGTGTACATGGTTCAACCTCCTGGTTTTTGTGCCAAAGGAAGTGAAAGTAAGGTGTGCAAACTAAGAAAGTCTCTCTATGGTCTAAAACAATCTCCTCGAGTGTGGTACAATAAATTTCATATGGCAATTCAACAAGTGGGGTTCAAGCAATGTCAGTTTGATCACACTCTCTTTGTGAAGAGATATCAAGAACAAGTGGCTATGTTGATAGTGTACGTAGATGATATCATCATTACAGGAAACTGGAGCATAGAAATACAAAAGTTGAAGGAATTCTTAGCCTCTCAATTTGAAGTAAAAGATCTGAGGCCCCTAAAGTACTTTTTTGGAATTGAAGTTGCCCGCTCAAAAAGGGGCATTTTCATCTCTTAGAGGAAGTATATCCTAGATTTGTTACAGGATACAGGCAAGTTAGGTGCAAAACCAGCCGATACCCCTATGGATGTTGACCATAAACTAGGAAATTGTGATGGTGAACCACTAAAAGATGTGAAACAGTTTCAGAGACTAGTGGGAAGGTTGCTTTATTTGTCCATGACTCGCCTTGACATTGCTTACTCAGTCGGGGTCCTAAGCCAATTCACGCATTCCCCTAAAAGACAACACATGGAGGCAGCAGAGAGGATTCTTAGGTACTTGAAGAAGTATCCAGGAATAGGGTTACCATTCAGCAAACATAATCATCTGAAGGTGGAAGTCTACACAGATGCTGATTGGGTAGGCGTTGTGGATGATAGAAAATCCACAAGTGGGTACTGTACCTTTGTAGGGGGAAATCTAATGACATGGAGAAGTAAAAAGCAAAGTAGAGTGGCAAGATCAAGTGCTGAAGCAGAATATAGAGCCATGGCACATGGGGTGGCTGAAGTTCTTTGGCTGAAAAACCTTTTAGGAGAACTTGGGGTTACTGTCCACAACCCTATATCCCTCTACAGTGACAATAAGGCAGCCATTAACACTGTTAGTAATCCAGTCCTACATGATAGGACCAAACACATTGAGGTAGACAAGCATTTCATAAGAGAAAAGTTGGAAAAGGCAGAAATTTGCACCCCTTATGTCAAATCCAAGGAGGAACTTGTTGATGTTCTCACAAAAGGACTTCCACACTTACGGCACAATGAGTTGTGTGACAAGTTGGATATGATAGATATATTCAACCCAACTTGAGGGGGAGTGTTGTTAGACTTAAATAGTTTTTTCTTTATTTATGTTGTTACAATGCTGTCAGCTTAGACTGTTGTCAGCATGTTCTTTTCTTTGTATTAGGGTGAGCCCCAGGGGCCTAATTGCAATTTCTTATATTTGTTATAAGTTATAACATTTTAAATAAAAGAGGAGCAGTAGCTGCTAGCTCCAAGATTTCGACTCCCACATTCTTTCTCTTCTTCTTCTTCTCCTCTCCTCTCTTATATCTCTTCTCTCTTCCTGATTTCTCGTATGTTTACACATTTCATGTTTCAAAATGCAAATTTCTCAAATTATTCAAGTGATCAATTTAGAGGAAAGGAAACACATGAAGAATCATCCATCTAAGTACTGTTAGATTTATGGTCATCCAACATATAGTTTCAAAGAAAGGAAACAACTTAGTTATTTTGATCTATGCAAAAAAGTCGATAAAAAGAAAATAAATCAATTAGGAAAAAATGAGAAAAATAACAAACTTGGGATGTGAGATTTAGAATAATAAGAAAAAAATCACTTGATTTATCCAAGAGAAACTAGGAACTTGATTGACCCTTTTTACATTGAACTCTCCTAAAACACCAAGAGTAACTAATAGAACTTGATTTGATCTATTGGTTTTTCATTTTTACTGTTTTTATTTGGTCCATGATTATTGAAGTGCTTCTTCCATATATTTTAAACTATAAAAATGTATAAAATATACTTTTTTGTATTAGATTACTAAATAATCATTGACACTTGAGGCTTACGCATTTTTACGCCTCGTTCTGACAAAGGCTTAAGCCTTTTATCAAAGTTGTGAGGCTTAAGCCTTGAGGAAAAATCTGTGTGCCTCACTTCAAGGCTTAAGCCTTTTAAAACAATGCTTTCTCAGAAACATAATATCCTTTATTAGTTTAAGTACACCATGGCACACTGTACAGATTTGCTAGTCAAATTGTTTAGATAATCTAACCAACCGTGAATCTTCCATTTACTGGCTAAGAAGCCTCAAACATTCTTCCACCTCTCAATCAATTGATTGACACCAGCTACAAAACCACCTCCTTAATGCCATTTTAAAGTATTAACTAATAGTTAGCTACATCTTTAGAGCTGATCTACTAGAGATAAAGAGCCTAGAGACAAAACACAGTTTGTTAATTCCACACCATTTATCCTCCCAAAATCTCACCTTTATCCAATTTTCCACCAAAAAAACTTGTTTTGAATGCAAACTTATGATGGAATTTCATCATGCTTTTGTATACAAATGTCCCGTGCATGGCAGAAGGCAGATGTGGTTCCAAAACCACAACCATAGTTTACCACCCATCCTCTCATATAATGCCCCATTTTCTACTAAAATCTCCAAATGGCATTTCTCCAAGAGAGCTTTATCCATTGCCCTCACACCTGGGAAATTCAATACACCTTCTGAATTAGGTCTAAATACCCAATCCCACTTCATTAAATGGAATGCTCTTGCATCTTCCGCCCATGGTAAGCCCTGAATCCTTTCCACCCTTACTGCTATCATTGCCGGAATGTTGAAGATGTGATAAAGGATATTTTTGCATCTGTTGTTACCAAAGGAAAATAGTTCATCTGCTGAAATTGCAACATATTGTAAGGTTGCAGATGAAGCATCAGCTTAACTCTGAAATTATTTTGTTATTGGGAAATCACCATCAACACCACCACCTTCACCATCAACATTGTTGTTGTTATATTATTATTAATTTTTTAATAGGCTGAGCATATTCTAGATGAAGAAAAATAAATCTGACCTTAATATAATTACATAGAAAACCAAAATCAAATGCATTTACCTTTCCACGACTTTTTTCATCTCCATGGCATATTCCCTCTTATCAGTTTGTGCACGTAGTGCTCGAACTGCAGGGCCTCTTGAGAGGTTGAGAACACGCTTTTGTAAGTAGCACCTGCAGTAAAAATGTTAAGTATAATCTTGAACAGAAGGATAAATCAGAATTTAATGACATGTTAAAGCTCTTCCAGGGAGGTACAAAATAATATTAGAAATCTGAACAATAAAATCAGCCAAAATATTCCACAATCCACCATATAATAAAAAGAATGCAACAATTGTTTTGAGGGAAGATGACCAAAAATTCATTAACAGAGGAAAAAGAGGTACATGAGAAGATGTACATCTGAATGCAACACAACTAAAGTCACAGATGACAGATTACAAAGGCAGAATTCTGTTGCCATACAGAGCATCCATCCCTCAAGGTCCCCGACTTAGCTAGACTATCAGCCAGAGCATTTAAACCTCTGGGAATCCAAAGTAATGTCACAGTCATTGTGTCCAAAATGTCTCTAGCCTTGTTTAGGAAATGAGCCAGCCTCCAAGGACAGTCATTGTGCCCAAAATGTCTCTAGCGTCATTTTGGAATGAGCCAGCCTCCAAGGACCACCATCTTTCACTCCTAACCACTTTATAGTGTTTATGGTATCTCCTTCAATGGCCAATCTCAAGATAC